AAAGAAAAAAAAAAAAAAAAAAAAGTATATATAAAGGATATAGGGCAGCTGAGACACTGACTCTTTCCAGGCGTGCGGTCACTGGCACACGCGGATCCTTCTCCACCCTCCTCCTCCCTTCTTGTGCCCCTTCTTCGCAGGAGAAAACCGCAGCGGAGCGGCGGAGGGTTTTCTCCGTCTTCGAAGGGTTGCGTCTCGTCCTGGAGGACCATGCCCGTCATCTGCTGGCTCAGCTGGGGGACCTGGAGAGGGACGTTGAGAAAAAGCAGGAAGAAAACATCACCAGTCTGACGAAGGAGGTGTCTCGCCTGGAGACCTTGATCCAGGAGATGGAGGAGAAGTGTCAGCAACCAGCGAGCACATTTCTGCAGGTGAGGGAGAAGGGAAGGTTTTCACCGCCTGGGTCCCGGCTATTTTCTGGCTCTGGGCATTGCCCCGGCGTGCAGCCAGACCCGGGCTGTTCTCTGCTCCGAAGCTGCATCCATGCTGTTGAGGTTTCGGTAGAAGTTTTGCTGGCAGGACCCGCTCACTGCGTTTTCTCTTCCCTCTCTCCCTCGCAGGACATCCGAGGCACCCTGGGCAGGTACGGAGCTTCCTGAGCTTCTCCTTCCGCCCCAGGCTGGGAGGGAGAGGCTGGACCTTGTGTTAGGGCAGGTACGGGAAAGCCGTCGCCAAAGCTCACTCAGAAGCCGAATGTTTGGCTTTGTGGGCAGAGGCTGTGAGCAAAGGTGCCTCTGCCCATCGCTGAATGGGTTTATCACGACCCGCACCGGCACCTCTGAGCCGTGGGCGTGCGCTGAAAGGTTCCTTGGTCTCCCTCTGAGAAGATGCCTCCTGACCTCTTCCTTCTGTTCCCCTTCTCTAGGTTCGAAAAGGAAAATTTCCAGCAGCCCCCGTTGCTTCTTCCAGAGCTGGAAAAGAAAATCAGTCACTTCAGGGAGAAAAATATTGCGGTAGAGGAGACGCTGAGGACCTTCCAAGGTATGGAGCGCGGGCTGAGGTGGGGCGATGGAGCAATACCCGCGCGAGCATAAATTATATTTAGTCATCTGAAGAATAAATTATGTGGTTTTGCAATTCTATATGTGTTCATATAGAATAAATTGAATTTCTGCTGCTACTGATACCTGCACGTTCTGTCAGGTAACGTCTCCTCTCTCCTCTTTAGACATCCTGATGTTTGAGCTGCCCGAAAAGGGTAAGTCCACGTCTCCTGGAGGTGAGGGAGTGAGAAGGACCCAGGGAAGGCTGAGCCCAAGGTGGGGTGGGCCATCAGTCGGAGGGTCCTCTGGGGAAGATGCTGCCGCGTCTGACCAAAACAATGAACGCTGGGGGGGCCAAAAGCCACCGTAAGGGGTGGGGGGATCCCCACCGTCGTGTGTTGGCGGAGCTGTTTCTTTCGACGGAGCTGCTACGCTGCACGACGACCGAGTCCGCCCTCAGGTCTGTATGGTCCGGGAGCAGGTGCCTAGTTGGGCGTTTTGGGCACGAAAAGGAAGGGTAGGGGTGTCCTACCCATCTGCCTCAGGGCTCGTCCCCTTGCTCCCGTGGGAGTCGTCGTCGGGTGGGGGAAGCAAGCAATGGGCTGGGTGGTGCTGCGGGACCCCCCCCCAGCTTGGCCCCACTGGCGAGGCAGGACCCAGGCCGGTGGGAGACGGTTGGGCTTCATGTGATGCTCTGCTCTCTGCCCCTTGCAGTGAAGGTGACCTTGGACCCGAGCACGGCTCATCCCCAGCTCGTCGTGTCGGCCGACGGGAGGAGCGTGCGGTGGGAAGATGCCCAGCGGGACTCCTCTGCCGAGGGGCTGGGCACCGACCCCTGCGTGCTGGGCTGCGAGGGCATCACCTCGGGGAGGTGCTGCTGGGAGGTGGAGGTGACACCCAACGGCTCCTGGGCCGTGGGGGTGGCCAAGGAGTCCCTGAAGAGGAGGGAAGAGACTGCCGTGAGCCCCGAGATGGGGCTCTGGTCTATGGGGCTCTGTGAGGGTCAGTTTTGGGCACTCACCTCCCTGGAACGTATCCCGCTATACCAGATCCAGGTCCCCAGAAGGGTCCGGGTCTCCCTGGACTATGAAAAGGGTCAGGTGGCATTTTTTGACGCCGATAAGAGGGCCCTGATATTCACTTTCCCAGCAGCTTCCTTTGAAGGGGAGCGTATTCACCCCTGGTTCCTGGTGTGGAGCGAGGGGTCCCAGATCACGTTGCGTCCCTGAAGCTCTCCCTTCTTACCCCAACACAAGTTTTGTGTCCCCAACATCCCTATTTCCAGCACTTCGGAGGACTTCGGCCAACTGAAGTCCTACTGCCTTCCCGGCCTCTCTCTCCATCCCTAGAGATGCCAAAGGGTTGAGCATTTCTGTGGGTCGGTGTCTCATGGTCATCCCCAAGTTGGGGCATCGTTGGCCAACAAATGGAGCCACGTCTGCCCCACAGCATCCCGGTCTTCTCCGGTCTTACGCTTTTCGATGAAGTAAAAAGCTTTACACGCTGCGCTGTTCTTCTCTGTCCGGTTATTTGCCGCCTCCGGACGTCAGGGTCAAGGAGGGGAGCTGGAGTTTTGGTTAACTAAATCCCATTCCCGGTGTGAGCCCGCGCCCAGGAAGGTCCGCAAGCCCCACACAGGTGACCAAGGGACGGAAGCCACGTGCCACGCTGCTCTCCTGCCCGCTGCCGGTCCCAACCAGAGGGAAAGACACGGAGGAGAAAACCATGGGGGTTTTTTTGGAGGGTTTTTTTAATTATTAATGATCTACATCATGGAGGTTTCACACACCGACTTTTGGAGAAGAGGGGAATCAGCTGAGGCTCAGGAGCTTTGTCACGTGCGAACTTCCCGTCAGCAAAGATACCACGGGGGTAAGACTCTGCACCGAAGGCTGGGACAAACCTCCCCTGACACCCGAAAGTCACAGTGCGCTGGAACCGGCCACCCCTGGGTCCTTTCTAAGGGAGAAACCAGCTGGTTTAGGGCAATGGCACCTAAACTGGTGCAACTGGGGGAAACGAAGGTCAAGTTTGAACGATCCCTTTGTTTCACGGAATCTTTAGGATTGGAAAAGACCTTCAAGTCGCACCGGGGGAGGTTTCGGTTGGATATCGGGAAAAATTTCCTCACGGAGAGAGCGGTCGGACGTCGGCACGGGCCGCCCGGGGAGGTGGGGGACTCACCGTCACCGGGGGGTTCAAAAACCGCGTGGACGCGGCGCCTGGGGACGCGGCTGAGTGGGCGCGGGGGCGTTGGGGTGACGGTTGGACTCGAGGGTCTCGGAGGTGACCAGCTCAGATGGGGACGTCTCTACTTAACCAGGCAACCCTTTCTACTCCTGTCACCCCGCCTTCTCCCCCACTATCTCCCCGTTCTATGCCCCGGAGCTTTTCCGCTCTTTTTGCCTCAACGTTCTCGGGCTTCTCTCTTCTCCCTGCGCCTCAGCCCCCCTCTTCACGGGGAGGGAGGAAACGCAAAAGCCCAAGTCCCCTTCTCTTCTCTTCCCGCCGTCCCAGGGGTAGCATGGGTTGTCCCCTCAGGCTGCAGAAAGTGGGGGCACAGGCTGGTCCCCATCTCTCAGGGACACAGCCTGAGCTGGGACCTGGCCCCCACCACCCAGAGCCACGGGCGGACCCTCTCCCCAGTGAAGGAGGCGCGGGAAAAAATGAACATGAGCCCCCCCTCATCTGCATCAAAGAAAGCCACCGTCCCTCC